CGGCAGCCTCCATCGCCGCACGGGCAATCCAAATCCTCCTGTCTAACAGGAAGAACCTGGAGGACAGGGTGCAAAAACCCCTACCCCTCTTTTTAGCCCCAGAAAGCCCCCTTCCACCTGCAGCCAGGCGGGCTGAGTGCGGGCAGGGCAAGGGTCCGGTGAGAGCATCCTCAGCCCAGTGCAGGCAATAATGACCATTTTCCTATGCTAAAAGCTGCATTTTCAAAATGCTTAATACAAAAATAATAATAATAAAAAAAGAAGGATCATTAAACCAAACTTCTCCCAGCCATCCCTTCCCCAGTTCCTGCACTACAGCCAAATCACCGTCGTCCTTCCCGGCCTCAGCCAGATCCTCCAATGTCATTAGCCCCACTCTCACATCCCAAACCTGGGGCTTGGTCCTCCAGAACCCTCCTCTCCCCTCCCCGGTTTTGCAGCAAACACCAAGAACAAACTGCAGAGCACCGAAATCAAATGTTTATGTTGATATTTATTACAGCATGGAGGGGGGGGAGAAGGGGGGAGAACCGTTTCATTCAAAAAAACCATCCCATACCAATGAAGACAATAATTTAGCTATTCATTTTAAAATACATTAAAACCGGTCCTTTCATTTCCTCACACCAGAACAATAAAAAAGAAAGAAAAAAAAAACAAACGAGGAAAACAAAAACCAACCCCAAACCTGAACAAGATGTAAAGCAGAAAAGGAGAAAAAGTTGACCCCTTGGGGAGCCCCTGGGTACATCTGCGATGCAACAAATCTGTGTTCAGTTACTTCTCAGCATTACTTGGAAAATATTAACCTGACTGTAACTATGAGACTGACACCCTCAGAACCCCCCCTTCCCACCCACACCTCCCTCCCCAGCGACTTTCTAAAGGTAAAGCACAATTAAAATGTCTAGGAAAAAGAAGGCGAACATTAAAAAAAAAATCACATTACACACTAAAAAAAAAAAAGTTTTGTCATCTCATGTCTTGCAGTCAGAATAATAAAAACAAGGCAAACGTTCCCCAAAAACATTTCAATGAAGGGGTGCGGAAAAAAGACATCCCTTTAATAAAACATTATCAACAAATATCGTACACAAACTACAATGTATAATAATTATTTTTTTTTCCCCTCTCGGTAATTTTCGAACCAGACTACAAGGTAAGAAAAAACACTGAAACAAGATACAATGCTTTCAATAATCCGCACAAAGGTCAAATCCAAGGGAGAGAATATTTTACAGAATATGATATACATGGAGCAGAAATGGGAGCTGGAGAAAAACAAAGACCAAACTACAGGGTAGTGTCATGTACAGAGACCCCACCCCGCCGCCTTGGCTCGTCCCTTCCTCTCCCGCCAGAAGGAAGGGCCTTCGATGCTTGCTATTAATTTTTATTTTCTTATTACAGAGCGAGCCTACAGAATAGCAAGGTTACATTTTAACAACAAGAATTCCTTAAAAAATATCTCCATCCAGTTCCAAATCATAGATAGGTAAGTGAAACCCTGACAAGAGCACATCTCTAAAGAAAAGAACCCCCCTCAAATACCCCCAAAAGCAAATAACATCCCCCCCGAAAAAAAATCCCAAAGTTAGCTGGAGATCACAGTTTCAAAGTTCCAGGTCAGATTAAACCTTTCTTTCGGAGGATTTGAAAAAAAAAATACTAAAAAATCCAATTTTTGAAGTGAATCAGCTGAAGGACTCTGGGGGAGGGACAGAGATTTCTTCTTGTACTCAGAGAGGGGGGGAAAGACTAACACAGTGCATGCCACAGTCACAGAGAGCAAGATCACGATTCATTCGAGGATGTGATCCTAGAAGGGGTCACCTGCGTTAACAAGTTTATAACGAGGTGGTGGAGTCTCTTCCCCAAAAGCAGATCTTGTTAACTGGAGGAGGAAGCGTCGTGCTGCAAACGAACCAAAAAAAAACCCCAACCAACCAAAAACAGAAGGGAAAAAAAACCCCAAAACAAAACAAAAAACAGGCCTTCTGAACGAAAACCACCATTGTAAACTGTCCAGTTTATTTTAAAAAATGACTACAACAGAGACAACATGAGATTTTCATATCTAGACTAGCTTCCTGGTGTCGCACGGCACAAACATACAACAGGTTCGGTTTCTGTCTTTATTTAAAAGAACAAAGCAAAGAGATCGGAGTTGAGTGCTAGAGGCTTCCGTTTGTTTCCAAAAAGAAGTGTCATGTACATATATAAACCCTTCTGCACAAAGAAGGGTCTTGTCATGTCTTGAAATATTTTAAGTTTTGTCCTTCATGTTTTATGGAATAAAAAGTTCAGCCTTTTTATTGCATGAAACTAAACCTGGGGTTTTGGCCCCCGCCACGTGTCTCCCTGCCCATACACCTAGCTTCTTCTTCTTCTTCTTGCATAATTCGTTGAGATCCTCCGAACGGCAGCTGACTGTCTTGATCCTGGAGAGGAGGAGGGGGAGGGAAATCACACACTCATCGTCATGCTGGGGGAATACTGGAAAAGAGATAGAGCCAGGGTGAGAAACCAGGCGGGCCAGATCCCCAGACACCAAAGGGGGATGCAAAAGGAGGCTGATGACAACCGAACAGCAACCTAATTGGACCTAATAAATCAGGAGGAGAGGATATGCTGGAGACTCGAATTTATCAGGACATAATCTGCTCTGTAGCTTGCTTTTCCGGGGAGAAAATCAGCAGAACAGCATGGGGTGAGACGCAATTTCAAACAAACAATTAACATGCAGGTGTGTATGTGCTGCTAAGAAGAGGAAGAAGAGGAGGGATGTCCGCAGCCACACACAGCGACTCGGATCAGCCAGGCCAGCCCAGCCGGCTGCATCTATCCCAGCTCCTCTGCATCCTGCTGGATCCCTTCCTACACCTCTGTCCTGACAAGGACTTGAGCTTGCACCCACTGGTGTATTTCTTCCTCCCCGTTTTCTGTCCTGGAGCAGCTCACAGACAGAATATCCCAGGTCCAAAAGGCACCCCCTGCCAAGCTGGCCCCGAGGACTGACCCCCATCCCAGAGACCGACCCCCCGCCGTCCCTAGGGAGGCACTCACATTGTCATTTTGGAAGGAATGGAGAAAGTTGCCTCCCAGCTCCCCGTCGTCTCTTGGAGTGCCCGGGGGATTGCTAATGCCACTTATGTTGTTTGGAGAATTCTGTGGGAGATGGAGGTGGGGGGAGGTGGTGAGCAGGTCCCTGCACCTAAATTTTTGGGGGCAAGGCACAGCCCCACCTGCCCCGGTCACACCCCCCCGATGCGTCCCCCATCCATTGGGGTCACACCAGCATCCCAGCGCCGAGAAAAGCAGGGCCCGCTTTGCAGCTCACTTACTTTTGGAAGTCCATCTATGTCTCCTGACCCTGCGTGGGGAGGGGAAACAAAAGAACAGCCTTAGTGAGCTTGCAGCCGTGACCCCCGTGCCCCCCTGCCCTCTTCCCCCACTCAGACCCTCTTTCTGATTTCCAGCCAAAGGCTCTGCTTTGAGCACTGGTCCAAACTGGAGGCTGACCCTGAGATGGGAGCCGGCACTGGGATGCTCTACCAGTGTCCCCAGGAAGTGAGGGCATCCCGGAGCCACAGCCCTGCTGGCGCGGGCGCTCACCTAACGATCCGTTCATGTGATGGGGCTCCATGCCACCCATGCCGCCCATGGGGCCGTCAGAGCCAGGGCCCATCGGGAACTGCAGAAGAAAGAAGGTGACAAAATTAAAATCAGCCACAATGTATCTCCCCCGGTGGCTCCTGGGGACTCCATCCCTGCGGAGCGGGGCGAGAACAGGGACGCATCCACCCCTGCCGAGGCGGTGGGGCACATCTGAGGGCTCAGGGTCCTGTGAGTTCACCCATAAAATTTGGCCAGACGGGTGAGAGCAGACTCAGACCCATGGCAGCGCAGAGGGTTTCCTCCAATTAGTATTTAACAAGATTTAAGTCTGCCCATATCCCACGAAACACAGCATCTTGCCGGGCATGCAGCTGCCACCACCTTGGCCACAGCAGCAGGACCGCTGCTCTCTTAATAAGCATAAAAAATTAACAAAGTCACCGAAGAGTTAATCGCTTTTTGATGGTTTGTTTTATTTCTGTTTTCTAACAAATGGCTGAAATCAATTAAACTGCTTTACTCTCAACTGATGAAGTTAATTATGATTTGTTATGGTATCTGATATGTAAATTATTAGAAAGCAGACTTACATTCGATCGACTGCCTGCGGGCGGTACTGGATTAATCATTGTGTAGATGTTGTCACTTGAATTTGTTGAATCTGTGGAACAGTGAAGCCCAGTAAGTCGGGTGATTAATTCATTTCTTAATTAAAACAAACTCATGCCACTTGAACTCATTCTTTTGTATTTTATCACCTAAAATTCCCTCTAAGTACCACCATTTTCTGGCTAATTTGTATTTAATGAAGATCCACAAAGTTTTTAATCACAGAAATTCAACTGTGAAAAATAATTCAACTTCTGGCTGGGAAGCACGAGGAGGTTAATTCCCCGCCACGTAGCACCTCCCCACCTCCCTGAGCCCCGCAGCATCCAAATCCACAGAGGGATATGGGAACATCCCCAAATGTCATCCCGAAGCCCAGCAGCCCACGCTGCTCCCTTCCCAGAAAGGCAAGAGCTGCATAAATTGGTTATCGCCGGTTGGGCAGGGGTCGCCCATACTCGACGGCACAGCCCCAGGGATGGGGTTTCTCCTGGCAGGGGGGCACTCACGAGGCTCATACCTGCGGGACTGGGCATGATGGGTGTCCCTGGAGGACCACCGCCACCAGGCGGACCCTGCGGAGAGACAAAGCGGGGGGATCAGCCGCATGAACATGAGTGTCGCCCATCTCCCCACATTTTCAAAGCGTCTCCCTTGCACTCCCAAACCCAGCCTGGCCCGCTCCACAGCACTAATTTCCCCCACTCCACAAACTGTGTGAGCCCCCCCGAGCTGTTAAACATCTCTGCAGCCCAGCGACAGGACAGACAGATGGAGAGGGAGGACTCACCACGTATGTACCAGGCGATGAAGAAGAGTATGGGATCTGCAGAGAGAAGAGAGACAGGTTCAGCCACGGGGTGCTCAGGGGCATCCTGCGGGCTGGATCCCAGAAGACCACAGCCGAGAGCCCCCTCCACACCCCCCAGCCTGGTCAGGACGGGGGTCCCAGGCCCACCAGCCCCTGCAGCTGCACCCCGCTGCAGGGAGAGCAGCAGGGAAGCAGGGCTGAGGCTTTAGGTGCGGCGCCTGAACAAGAGGCTGGGGAACCCCTTCGTTAGCACGATTCAGCTAACGGGGAACAGCCTCATTTGTGGAACCAGCCCCACTCTCACTTCAAGGACCGCAGGATACTCACTGAGTTAGCACTGCTGGGGTTCGGCCACGGTCTGCCGGCTCCCGGCCCCCTAGAGTCAAAATTAAACAGGGACAAAAAAACCCCAAACCGTAAATGTTGTGTTTTTATCTGCATGGTCCCGCAAAGCCCGAGCTGGCAGCCGAACATCCCCGGCATGGGGTTTGCCTTACATGTTAATTCCAGGCATGCCAGGACCGAGGGAGTTGGGTGGAGGTCTCATGCCGCTGCCGTAGTTCTGCAACGATAAGCAAGGGTCAGTCTACCGTAATGGGAAAGGAAACTGGAGAAGGCAAGAAAAGGGAAAATAAAAACCCCAATAAACAAAAACCCAAGAGGGTTAGTTTGCAAAAATGAGCTGCGAAAAAAAAAATTAGATGACGAGGAACAGAAGAAGCAATTATCAGACAACTGAACACAGAAGGGAGCCAAGCTGAGCCCCAAAGTCGTTCCCCCGGTCTCTGATGCCATGCCGGGGAGAGGGAAAACAGCCCCTTCCCAGCTCCAGGAGGCAAATGGGCTCACAGACCCCCGGCACCAGCCAACAACAGCCTTTTGGGTTTTTGCGCAGGAGAAAACCGGGGCAGGAGGAGAAAAGAAGGCTTCACTCTGAAGGTTATTGCTGCAGTGTTAAGGGTGAGAAAAGGTGACATGAGCTCCCCCCGAGATTGAGCAGCATCCCCTGCTCCCAGGATGAAGGCTGGAGTAGGGAAAATCGAGCCGGGCTTGTTTTCCCATTGCTTCCCAGCTCTCTGCTCCATCCCCTGGAGCAGGTCTGCAGCCATGGGGAGCAGGTGAGGGCAGGCAGCCCCTTGGGGCTCCTCTCCCAGCTTATTCCACCCCAGCTTAGCCTCCAGCCCCAACCGGGAGCCTCAGATCTGCATCCCTCATCTCCTAAAACCAGCTCCAGTACAAAGCCACGCCCAAGGCAGCAAAGGAAGAGGAATCTCCCAAATGCCGTGCTCCACTTGGTCTGTGCTTTGCTCCCTGTGCCCTACGGGCGACGCACAGCCAGATTTAGGTCGCGCTGCCACTCCTTCCCTCCCACCTTCCCTCCATGATGCATCTTTTTGGGATGTATTTCTGCCATTTAGAGAAAAAATAGCCAGGGCGGGAGGAGGCATGGCTGGACGCTTCCTATTTTGCAGCCCCTCAGAGAGCGCCAAGCTGGAATTTAAGTGCAATACTTTGGTGCCGTTGATTTTTCCCTGGATTTATGGATGCATTGGAGCACGGTGCTCTGCTGAGGGCATCGCCAAAGTTTGTTTTGAAGAGGCAGAAAAGGCTTTTCCCCAAACAAATTACCGGCAAGTCCTTAACTGATTGAAATTCCAGCCATTTATACTGAATAACAGCATCAAACCCCTTGTTTTGCTTTTTTTTTAAAAAAAAAAACTCAGCGTTTTTAATTGGAGCTGAAAGGCTGGAAAATGAAGCCATCTGAAAGATGCTCAGGGAGGGTGGGGAGGGAATGCAGCTGTGCCGAGCAACCTGGCTGCCAG